CCTTTCCATCTACTCTATCTGATCCTCATATTCCTATTGACATAAAATAGACCCCACTCTCCTCCAGGACTGTCAGAATGGAGGAAGCATTCAGTGATGCAGATAAAGGTGGGAGCAGCACTTACAAGGTTTCTCTCCTTCCCTGAGAGGTATCAACCTGCATCATTAAGGATTGAGACCTGCTACTTTAAGATGAGCTGCAATAAATTCTGTCTTGATTATTGCCTCATTTCGGTTCCAAACTATCAATATCAACATATGGCTTAAACACCACTAAAGCAGAACACAAATCCATGGATGACTTCATTTGTTGTACAAATGTTAGTGAAATAGAAACAAAAAAGATTAAGTGATTGACATTTCTGGAGAACATGTGCATTTTAAAGTCACTGTTATTCCACTAGTATCTAAACTGCAAGAATAACAGTAAATTTGACTTAACAGGGAGACAAAAGAGGCAGGTGAGTACTCTGAATGTGGATTGCTGTATTTTCTCCCTTCTGACTGCTGAAGGTTATCATTGCTGAATGATAGGAATTCTGAGGTCTTGGTAGTTATTTTGCTCATTTCAGTCCAAGACATCCCTGACTTATGCCTTAAATATGAAGATTTATAGAAAATCTTCGTTAGGCTTAAATAGGTTTCAGTTCAGTAGAGTCCTTGGCATAAGCAATGTGTCAGATGTCAAAGGAAAATTAAGAAAATAGTTTTGAATGTTCCATGAAACCTCTGGAAAGCCAGATAAGACAATATTCAAAGGAAAGAGGAAAAGGCAAAATGCACAGCCTCTTTATGGTGGTTACATGATAACTCATCAATAACAGTCTCCTATGTCTTCTTTGGGTCCTTGACACAGTTTTTGCCCTGTGCTGTAAGATAATCCTGAAACTAACTCAGCTGTAATCTTAAATCAAAGAAGAACACTTGGGAGATAGGTAGGAGGACTAATAGTTCAACAACAACAAAAAACATCCTTAACTTACATGAAAAATCAGGATGCGCAGATATCTCCTTTGAGTCCAGAAGCGACTTTTTTGGATCTGCAATTTTTTTAAACTTTTTTTTTTTTTTTTTTTTTTTTAATGTGAAAAGTACCAGTAACTTTTTATACAAAAAACTTCTTAAAAGAGCAACCTTAAAAGATGGATCTGATCACTTGGACTCAGTAACAACCTTCCTAGGTCATAGAGTATTTTTAATTAACCTGATGTTCCAGTTATATTAATTACCCTTGTGGTTCCAGGTTAAGGCAATATTCACTGCTTCCCCACCTCAATTTAAAAGCAGTGATGCTTTGCACATTACGCCACTGTGCTTCTGTTATTCCCATGGCTCAGGAACATATTGAAAAAGGTTCTGTAAACATATGTTTAAACTGGGAAGTATTTTCAGATGAAAGACGTATGGAAGGGAAAAGGCCTCCCAGAAAAAGGAGAAAACCCCAAACACTAAAATGAAGTATCAGTGAGCATTACCAAAAGTTCAGCTTTACCACTAAATGCAGCCTTTATAATTGCTTGCTGAATGAGAGCAGGCCATCAGCACTCCATCCTGTATAAAGGGTGATGTCTGTGCACACCATTTGCCTATTATTTCTAAATGGAGAGTCTGAATGCAGTCTGAGACCATCTGAGGCACAAAGGAGAGTCCATGGCTCAGTGACAGTCTGGGCTCAGCAAAGCTGGCCTGGGTGGGGTTCCAGGCTAGCAGGGAGCTGCCAAGCCAAATCGCTGAGAGCAAACCACGTTGGGAAGTGAGTCCTACAGGCTTTCATAGCCCATACACTCTCTTTCATTAAATAACTCTGAATTGTCCCTAAGCCAGTCCTAGAGAGTTAGTGGTTTGGTAGCCAGCCAGCATCTTGTTACAAACTTTCTGGCACCAACTAGTAATGTTTGTAACAAATTCTATGGATGTGTTAACCTATGGAATTTGGAAACTCTTGCTTAGAGGTCCCCAAAGACGATGAACTTCAGTACTCTCACAACTTATGTCATGAAGATCTTTCCCAAAAAAAAACCATCATCAAGACTTGTACTCAAGAAATAAACCAGAAAATTGTATGTTTCATTAACTGCTGCATAGTGTCTTTTTCTTTTCCAGATAGTGGGATATCCATAAGCAGGTCATGACTGTCTCTTATGTATATATGACAAATACTTTTCCTCTGGATTGATTATAAAAAAATTGCACTCACATGGCAAAATGAGAAGATTGTTGCTTAATAGCAATTTGTAATGTAAATCACAGGGTGCTGTTTTTCTACATATTTTCCATAATTGCACGGATAAAGAAGAAATTCTGAAAAGGCTGTTTCAAGACAAAAAACAGGCTTGCTGTCAGTAGACAGATGCCTTACTGGACTCTGTGGTGTCCTTAGTGGAGGAGCTCCAAAGGCTTTGCACAGCGGTAAAATCCATGCTAGGTCATGCAGCTGCATTCTAGTGCCTCTAGCTTGAAAACTGGGTTTGGCAAATTATTGTAGATATGACTGAATTTGGGGGCTCTGCTCCTAAAGCACTTGTAACTGTCTCTTTCTCAAAAGAGAAGAGAATTCTCCTGAAATGAAGACATATTGTAAAGCATTCCCTAAGATTCTTGGTACAGTAATTTCTTATGAGTAGGTAGGACAATTACTCACATGGTGTTTGGAGGCCACCATGAACATTGGAGCCCAGTATGTTGTCAAAGAGCTGGGATTTGAGGTTTTGATTCTGATTTGACTGGAGAACTGGTTGGTGTCTACCTCACTGCAGCTTGTAAGAAAAGGCTCTACTGCCCCAAAGCCATGCTTTAGAAACAGTAAAGGTATCCAGAGTAAAGGTACCCTCTGAGGCAGCAGGAGAATTTCAGAAGGGCTCTTAAGGATTTATACAAATGACTGAAGGCTCCAATAAAACACGTGGAAATGTGGTGGCATTTGGAAACATATATTAAGTATGCTGATTTTTCCCACAGCAAAGGCAGGCAGCTCTTTTTGTCCTCCTTTTAGTCAATTATGGTTAATTATTGATATGATAGAACTTTATATGGATTTTTATATGGCTTATGCAGTTGGAGATTTTTTGGGGTTTTTTGGTTGCTATTTTTGATTTTCAGGGTTGTTTCTGTTTTGGTTATTTTGCTTGGTTGGTTTTTTTTAAATTTCTTCTTGTAGAGGTCAGTAGATGCAATTATTTGTGTGGCTAATTCATGAGTCATTGTTTAAGAGATGAGGATGATGATTCACTTTGACAAAGCTATTAATAGGTGCTCAGCACTATATTTTAAGGTCTTGGAAGATTCAGTCCCCTTTCCTTTCACAAGGAAATTTAATGTTGTAAGTCTTTTACTAGCTTAGCTGTTATGCCAGAAGCACATCATTCACAGGATTACCCTCTGTGAACAAGTCAACATGAGAACTAATAGAGAGTTTTAAATGAGAGCTGACTTACACAACTCATGCCAGAGGATACATGACCTAGTGATGGTGTCTGGGAACTATCTCCTCTCTCTTTCATTTTCTTTTCTTGTTTAGCCCTTTTCCCCTCCCCTTGCATTGCACATGGGCTGTTCATAGTCTCAGGCTGTGCTCACAGACCCAGACATGGACAAATGCAGGTGCCTCTTCTGGGACCTGAGGATGGGCAAGGCAGCTTTTTCCTGCTTGTGTCAGGAGTTCCATCAGTGCAATGCTGCTGCTGAGATGATTCATTCTTTCTCCCTGTGGGATTTATTCACTTGGGATAGGCTGTAAACTATGCTGGGATGAAGAAGAGATCAGTCTGGAATTCTCAGACGTTGAGCAAAGTCTTTGCTGGTTCATGTAGATTTACTTTTTGGGCTCTCGTGTGCAGCGACTGGGTCCTGTGACTGCAGCCCACTGGGGAGCTGCACAGACCTGCATAAAAACCTACACAGGAGGGACATCTGGCATGGCCTGCTACCCCCCTGCTGTGTGAAGGCCAGCCTCACCTCACTATTAGCTCAGGTTTCTCAGAACCTGTCCAGCAAAGTATGAAACCTTCCAAACCCAGAGCTGTGGAGCTCTCTGTGGAGCTGCCTGGGCAGAAGTGCAGTGAGCAGGGCTGATCATTGCCCAGGAGGTGACACTGGCTGAGGTCAAGGGGAACCCTGACTCCAGTTCTGTCTTTCTCAGCACAAGACAGGATCAGCCTCACAGAGTGAGTCCAAGGGAGGGGTCACCAGGGTGGTGGGGGGCTGGAGGGAGTGAGGTGGAAGGAGAAGCTGAAGCAGCTGGCTTATTTTAGCCTGGAGAAGGAACAGCTGAAGGGAGATCTCCTCACTGCCTGCAGCTACCTACTAGGGAAGCTGAATCCAGATTCTTATGAGAGATTCACAGGGAAAGGGCAAAAGGCAACAGACAGGGCTTGGAAGACAGGAAATTCCAGTCAGCTATTAAGAATTGTTTTTTCACTGGAAGAGCAGGAAAATGTGAAGCAGATTGGCTGGAGAAGTGCTGGAGTCTCCATCCTTGGAGATGCTCAGAACTCAAAAGGACTAGTCCAGAGTAAGCAGATTTAGTGCAGGTATTGGATTAGAGTAACTACTCCAGCTCTTTCTACGTACATTTTTTTGTATTTCTATCATACATAGTAGATCAGAACTGTCTCAAAACCAGCGCTGCACTGCACAGGCACAGGTGTGTGACTACCACTCCTTTCCTTGTCAGAGAGCATTGAAAGAGTGGGAGAGGCAGAGCATTTCAGTAGATCTACCTGAAATTTCTTAATGGAAAATCCTAAACTAGCAGACAAATGGAACTCTAAAACAAAAACACCCCAAAAGAAAGATAAAGTATTTTAAGTTGATCAAAATTTTGTACAATTCTGTACAGAACTTGTTAGTCTCAGCTTATGTTTCCTTTTTCTGTCCTTTTTAATTACTGAACACAAACCCAAATTCTTGCATAAAAAAGGCTATGTGATGCAGATGGAGAAATGTAGAAATGTGAAAATATTAAAATGACAATTCTTCTTTCATTTCTGCCCCTGGTTTAGGACCATTGTGATGTAATCTGATTTAGGACTTTGAGACATTGTGTGAGCCATCCTCTGAGGCTGATTTCGACTCTTTCAGCAAATGCTCTTCTCTCTGGTAAGTTTTTGTCAGAGGTCTGTGCGCAGTTTGCTAATTCTCTTCATGCCACAGTAAACTTCAGTGAAGTCAATAGCTACTCTGGCAACAAAGCAGAAATGAAAGAGACTCTCTATTTTCAGAGCTCCAAAATAGCCACTGATCCATCCTTTGGAAAATACTGCTCTCAGGGGGGTCTGGTGAAGTGGTGTTGGGTTTCCAAACGGACAGAGAAACAGGCAAGCGTATTCTTGAGCATTTCATGCTGACTCTCAGTGAAGTGACAAGGATGGCTTCCCTGGGGGGCTGGCTAGCTATAGGGTGAGATTAAAGAGATGACTTTACCCCTGCTAAATTAGGTGCCAGGGATTACTGCCTCTCCTGTGTCAGTGTCTGCTCACTGGAACCTCTGCTGGCACCGAGCTCTGCTGAATGTGGTGGCAAGCCCTGTCACCAGGGTCCCCTGCCACTCCAAAGTACAGATTTAAAGGCAATCTTGAATCCGGAAGGGAAGAAGGAAGAGAGTGTAATGCTGTGCTGTTTCAGCTGCTAATTGTGCCCAGATTAGTTAATTAGATAATTAACATAAGAATGCTCTCTTTTCATATTAGAGCATCATACATTTACAATAGAGCTGTTCATAAGTAGAGTGCTATGCTGTGGGAAACACTAATTAATTTTGCAAATTTGGACCTTTAATTGCTAAAGTGCTGTGCTTTCTCAATGTTTGTTTTAGAGTAATGTTAACTGATTACTGCCTGTTTGGAGAAGTATTTATTCTCTCTGCCAGTTGGACACATTCCTCTTGCTGTGCAACCAGAATCCCAGTTTATTTGCAATATTAACTGCACTGCACTTCAGAGGAGCCTGCAAGAGATGAGATTGTCTGTAAGCCCAGCCAACATTGGACCCAGTAGCTGCAAAAGCAATGCAGCCCATCATTTCCAGTTAGGACACATCCCAGTCATATATCTCTGCAGCCTGCATACTCGATTATTGGAACAGCATTCATCCTGGCTTCAAAGCAGAATCTGGAAAAACTGCAGCTGGCAGATGCAACCACCTGCTTCCTTTGCAGCAGTTCTCAGAAAACATCAATCCACGTACCAGGCACTTTGCTGGCTCCCTAATGATCTCTGAGTCAATTTTCAGGGCCTTGTGCTGAGTTCTCAGAAGCACTTATGTGAGCTGGGGAAGCATCAGCAGTATCTGCAGGGTTTTGATGGTCTCCTCCTCAGACTGCAGCTCCTTCTACCCCAAGAGAATTAGATGTATGGGCAGCTCTGCAGCACCAGCACCATCCCCTCCACTCAAGGAGTAAATCAGCAGCTATTGAACCAGAAAGAAAGCAAGCCTCCATGGGATTCTCTTGCCCAACAACACTTGAATTTTCTTGGGTAAAGGGAGACATGGGCTTGCTTCCTTCTCCAAGGCTTCTTTATGCAACACATAAAAATATTGAGTTAGGAAATTGGAGCAGAGTTCTTCGTTATCCCTTCCCCACCTAGCTAGGAGCATCAGCTGTGGCCAGTTTTCTTCTGGTGTGTATGGGAACACAGTGTTCCCACCCTTGACAATCATGAGGAAACACAAAAATCTCTAAATTAGCAAAAGGTCTGTGTGTTCTCAGAAACACCTTGAGGTGAGATTTAAGAGTTATTTTTTTTTGCTTCCGGCTGACATCTGCAGTAGAAATGTAGATGCTGGTCCAAAATGCTTACTTGCTATGTTGCATAGAGGGCTTAGCTGCCTAGCTCAGGGATATTGAGACTAATCTGAACAGAAGATGTCAATGTTCAGAACTTTCTGAATCTTTTGGTGAGTGAGAGCTGACTCAACTGTATAAAAGTCTTACCTGTGACTAATCACTGGCTGAAAAGTTTCAAGTTAGCCACTCATTCAGCAAATCCGAGTCAGCAAAACTCAGATACCGAAGCTGAATACGGGGATGAGCTCTAAAGAAATGCTTTCAAACTTTTCCACTTGCTCAACTAATTTTTCCAGTAGCTTAACCAGCTTCAACAGGGGAAATAGAACAAAAAACAATAGAAACATATGCTGAATAGATGCATATAAAGATTTTTAATATGAGCTTGATCATTTTGAGAAATGAGTGCAAATATTTCCACTGTGATATTGTTGCACCTTAAACCTTAGCAGCACTCCTGGAAGAAGGGGGAACAAGAAGAAAATATGTCATTAATTGTGGGACAAAGGGTGTGGAAAGGAACCTTTAGTAGGGGAGGGGCTGTATGACAGTGGAAATTACATGATACATTTACTTGTTACTCGTATTTTGCTTTGAGCCTAAACTGCTGCTGTTTTCATTGCAGGCTTCAAGTTGCTGCAATCATTCATTGAGGTAACAGTACAAAGCTGCCAATTTGAAAATAAGGCTTTGCTCAGTAGCAGAAGAAAATGAGAAATTCAAGGGTAAGTCTGAAGATTACAAGGACCTTGAAAATCCTACAGAAATTGAGCCTTTTAATTTAAGTAAGAAAAGAAATTAAGGTTCAGATTTTGCTGTCTGTCTGTTGAGTTAGTCCTATTGATTCCAGGTAGGCCACACATTATTAAGTACCATAACAGGTTTTAGATAATTACAGTATTCATCCCTTGGGTAGTATACTTTTTAGGTTTTATGTCTTGAGTTTTATCCCCTAGATTATTTCCAGTGCTAGGAATTTTTTCAAGCATGAAAAGACCAGGCAAAATGTTTCTTAGAAGCGTCTTCAATGCTTTTTTTGAGTGCAATTATTTGGTCTTATGTACCTTGTTCATCCAGTAAGTTCTAATTTTTTTTCTAAGCCTTTATATTTCTGAACCAACAAGGTTCACATTTGCTTTACTGCGGGGCAGGATATTGAGCCCATGTACTTGTTTTATTATATTCTGAAGATATGTCTACACCTAATAATACAGTTTCTGAATGTCTGCTTTCTTCTGACTTTTCCTTTACTCACAGTATTTTTCCTGAAGCAAAGCCCTTCACTTATTCCAGCTCAGTGTCTACTGTGCTGCCCAGTAATGTTTTCCAATATTTGTAAGGATTTTGGTTTTTTGAAAACATCCTCCATAACCTTTGGAAGCTTGTGCTGTTTGTAGTGAAGCCATCTTTAGCCATGGAGGTCAGAAAGCAGCGATGTGCAGAAGACAGCCCTTCTGCTTGTACAGCAGCTCCACCAGGCAGAGGTTTCTGCAGCTGGGGGAAGTTTAGCTGGATTCCAGCCCTGCAGCATCTGCAGAATTCACTGCCTGACTGCAGTAAGGCTTGAGGACATGACACCTTCTCCCCCCTGCTTTCTCCCTCTGGTTCTTGCACGTACACACGTATGTGCACTCCCTGTTGAGACACAGTTCAGCTGCTATATGTGCAAAAGTCTTGTGTCTCCTGAGATTATTCATTTCCTCATGTGCTGCTTCATGTAGCAAATGGTGCTACAAGGTGCCCTGTTTGTAGTAATGCCCACAGGAGACACTTTTTGTGTTTCTCATCAGGGCTGCCTGTGCGAGAGGAGCAGAGTCAAAGCTGCTGCTTAACCAAGGCCACGTCTCACAGGGGAAACCTCTGTTCCTATTGATCTGCTGGGTTTGGATGTAAATTCTTTTCCCCTCCACCATTTTAGTACTGTTGATAGCACTAGTGTGGACTCATTTTAAACTAACATTAAAAAAAAAAAGGATTTGCAGGTGTAGCTTAACTTTTGGGAAGGAATAGGGAGAAGCACAGCTCTATCAACAAGAGCTACATCACTACAAAGAGAGTTTCCCATCTGGGAAGAGTGTTTTCCACTTCTTGGTGTCAGTGAAACTTGAGTGGGAGCCCTGCAATTACTGTGGGAGTATGGGGAAAGATGTAGCAATGGAATTAATAAGGTGTTAAGATGGAAAGCATGTTCTAGCAAAGGATTGTCAAAAGTATTGATGACTGAAGGTGAAAATACAAGGCAACTCTCAGTTAATATTTTGGCAGAACATTTCTGTATAAGATGCAGGCTATTTATGGCAGCTTCTCAAGGAATTAGTGACCTTTGAAGAGGTGCTGAAGTGGCAGAAGCAGCAGTGACATTTGTTGTTTCTGTAGTACTGATTCAGACACGCAATGTTGACTTTATCGAGACATTCTCTTTCAATATAGTTTACTCAATCACAAGAGTGCCTGGACAACTAAATGTGTGTGTGTGTGTGCGCGTGTGTGTGTATAAAAACATGACAAAGAAATACTTTGAGAAGTATTGTTTCCTAGCCAAATATTGAATATGTGTTAATTGTTAATTCTACTTTTTTAATTCCAGAAATTTTGTTGACTTGTGAGGGCTTTGACTCAGATGTTGAACCAATGGAGAGATGCCCACTTTGGTACAAATATGTTGATGGAAGAAGTTGCCATTCTCATGTACTCATCACTGTCTGCAGGGGTGATTGCTGTCACCAGCAATTTCCCCGTTAAAGTCACTTAAGCTATCTTAATTGATTTTTCCTGAAGTAAATTAGAGTGCTCTGACAGCCTGCTCTGCCAGCCCTCTGATGAAGGCTGCAGCCTCCAGAAGGGTGGTGATTGAACTGGCACTTACGGATCTATAAGAGGAAAGGAAAGATGGTTTTTGTCTGTGCCTAATCAGACAACAATTCCTGAGAACTTTTCTGGGACTTTTAGATTTTTTAAAAATTTTGTTGTTATTTCTAGATTATAAACAACATAATGCACCATGCTCATTGTGTTTTTTAATGCTATGTCCACTTTTAGCTATGGCAAAATTGTTTTTAATACTTGTCCTTTAGAAAATGCTGTGATGTTGAAATCAAAATGTCCTTCAAGACAGTATTGATTTGAATGAGATCCGGCTGTGAAAAATGGCTTAAATAGAGTTGCTATAATGTGTTATGAATTTTCTGGAATAGAATAATGTAATTCATCATTTTAATGTTACTTCTGGAAGTTTTTCTTTCATATTTCTGCTGAAAGAAAACATTTTGATTAAGCAGACAAGGGTTGACCCAAAATGCCTTCTTTTGATTAAGAAGCTTTAAGTAAAAAAATGTCTTTGTGCTTTGATTTGTTGTTGGACCAACATTACAAATGGCAGAATTGCTATGAATCTGTAAAAATGTATCAGAGTAGGCACATGGTGCAGGTGACCTCTCTAGGAAGGAAACCCTCTCTGGGTTTCAAGTTGTAAGTCCCCAAAATAAGTGCGTTAAATTATCAGGATGGCTAGCTGGATAAAAATTCTTGTGTGGATCCTACTGTTGTGTGAGCAGTTATGTCACTGAAAGGGTTTATTTCTGTCCTGGCTTTATTGGCTCCATCAGTAACTTGAATAGAGGGGTCTACAAAAGAGTCACAGAGGGACCTTTACAAGGGCATGCAGTGATAGGATAAGGGTTGATGGCTTTAAATTAGCAGAAATCAGATTTCAATTAGATAGAAGGAAGAGATTTTTAACAATGAGGGTGATGAGGCACTGGAACAGGTTCCCCAGAGAGGGAGTAGATGCTTCATTCCTGGAAGTGTTCAAGGCCAGGGTGGGTAGGGCTTAGAGCAAACTGGTCTAGTGGAAGATGTCCATGCCCACAGTGAGGTGTGGGAACCAGAGCTAGGTCTTTAAATCCCTTCCAGCCCAAACCATTCTATGAATTACCTCCATCAGTAAAATCCACGGATAAACCTCCCAGTTGTGGGCAAAGCCTGTGCCTGAAGAATGAAAAGTTTGATTCTGGTTCAATTTATTTGGGAGAAAATATAAATTAATGCACTTTTTCTTACCTTTTAGCTGCATTCTCTAGTAACATATAACGTGAAAGACAATAAAGATCAGATGCAATAAAGTTTCTTTACAAAGAGACTGAAAGTAAATCCCATATTATTCCAAGTCCTCTGAAGGCACAAACTGCTGCTCTGAGCATGTTGAACCCTTGTTTATTGTGAACTTCTGATGAAAGAGACAGGAGTGTGGCACTGGGCATCCTGCTGTGCAGAAGGACAACACAAATGACTACAACACTGAGAAGACAAATGAGCACACAGAAGGGCACATTAGTAATTGTGACCCCTCATTATTCGGCACTGTCCTATTCAGTACCATAATTTTGGTGGTAATTACTACTAATTGTTTTAATTTCTCCCTCCTGAGCTTTCTTAGAGTTCTTACCATGAGGTCAGTTTTTCTCAGCTGCCTTCAAATATGATAAATGTAAATTTCATTTTTATATTCGAGTCAGGACTTTGTAGAAATGCCTTCTTCCTCTTTGTGCAAGTAGAGAAAAGAGGCAGGAGGAAATGCTAGAGGCTCCACTGCTTTGCTTTAATCCTTCTCTAAGAATTATTAAAAGTGAAGCCCCTAAGTAAACACCTGGGTGTGGGAGCTGGGAGAAGGACATCCACTTCTACCAGGGCATGATCAGCAGCAGCCTGCTGGGAATGGGGATGGATCCTTCATTCCTAGCTGTCCTTCTGTCAAGGTGAAAGGATTTCTGAAATGCATTTCCATACAGGGAAAAAAAAAAAACAAAACAAAACAAAAAACAAACAAAGAAAAGAAAACCACCCAGATGGAAACTACATAAATTAACTAAGATGAGCAAAGCTGGCAAAGCAAGGCTTTCTGGCCTTTAATTTAATAATTCAGGGGCAGGGGGTGGGGGTCAAAAGGGAGCTAGATGAAACTTCAGGAAAAATCTGAATCCTGTTGGTAAGTTTTTCTTTAAAGGAAATTTAGAAAAATACTTTGGCTTTGTCTTTGTGTTTCTCTATCATCTCAGTTAAATTGGATGTTTCTATGACATTCTTTTTCACTACAAAGTAACTTTAATTAGCTCTCCTATGGTGTAAACCTTTCCAGTTTAGAAAAATACCGTTACATTAAATGTCCATGTTCTCAGGCTTGCAGCTGCCTGCACTTGTGAGGCAGTCATGGAAAAGGAAAAACACAAAATTGAGGTGGGAGGAAGGTTTTGATTTGGACTCTTCCTGGTGGGAACAAGTCATTAAACAAATGTTCAGTTTCCAGATTTGGAAAAATTACTGAGTATATTTTGCAGAGCTGCTTTAGAAGCAGCTGAGTAAGAGCATGGTATCTCACCAATAGGTATTGCCTCTGAATTTTAGGAAAGGAAGCAGTAGACTATGACTTTGAAAAAGCCAAATAAAGGCCAAAGGCAGTTTTTGGCTTGCCAAATAGAAACAACTTCAATCTAAATGGAATAGAGTCCTTTGAGTTTTTATTTTATGTTCTCTTTTCATTTTCACTCTTTGAAAGAGAAATAAAGAAAATCCCTAAATCTGTGGACTGGCAGAAAAATAGCCTTTGCAGGCAAAGGACTGATAATAGCACATGTGGGTACTGCTGATTTCAGTAAGAGTGCTTGGTTCAAACAAGGACAAATTAATATCATCAGTTTTTATCTTTGGTGCAACTGGGAATTCCTGGCCA